CGCCGCGCCGCAGCGACTCCACTCATCTCTCCACCCACACGATCTCCTCGGCTCAGCCGACTGTTTAAATTGACTAAGTGATGTTATTTAGTGACTAGATAGACTTCCAAAGACTTTGTTTCGTATGTTATTATTAGTGGCAATTCGCATCGTCCGTTAATTTGCGCGTCCGCATCGTGTAATGCGCTTGGACCGGACTGACCGAGGCAGCAGATTGAGGGGGCACAGACCTTTCTCAGCTTTATTCAGTGCTCAGTTGATTTTTAACAATTTAATGAATGTATGTGAACAGAGGCAGAACAGAGTTCTGTGGCGTGTTCTTAATGCGACCAAATCGTATACTTGTCGACGGGTAGCTAAGTGTGTGCGTGGAATAACATAAATGGCGGTGCTATTAAGGAAATGTATACTAAAGAAGGTAGGTTTGTTTTGGTGGGTCCACTGGCTGAAGTTGCTCGAGTATTCATTATTTGAACATTCTTTATGCATTTTCTTTAATAATAAGCTAATCAATAGTCGCGTGCTTTATATTTGAGGAGTCAATGTAAGATGTTGGTGGACCTCGTGGATGTGGTTTAACATGAGTTGGGTTTTGTCAATTTTATATTACGTTCCTAGTTAATTAGCTGAGATGTAAAAGCTCTAGTTGTTAACTTTTGAAAAAGAAAAATAAAATCATTTTGAAGGAAACTATTCTAAAAAACCATTACTTTTTACTGCACATTACCCACCATAATTGCTTAACTTACATGTACTTAATTTATTTTGTACAAATTTTTTATAAACGTAAAAAAAAACGTCATAAGACATTTGCAAGATTTTACAATCGTTATATGCATGAAATCTATATGTATATTAACTTTTTAGATAAATATATAGGAAGACATATATTGATAATTTTTATTAGGAAAAAAAATTAGTATAATAATTACATTGGGCATAAAAATCTAAAATAGTGAAAAATTTTAAATCTCACCATAACTTTTTTTACATCAATGTATTTAATTTATGTCATTGGAGTTAATGTAGTTGAAATCAAAAATTTTAAATCTTTGTTTTAAAATGCAGTCAACAGATGGCGCTATAATATTAGAGATAACGCCTGTTTAGGAATGTAGATAATTGCCGGATATTATTTTTCTTTTTCAATTAAATACGAAACATCAATGTTTATTTGCAAGGGATAAGATCTTGATGATAATTAATGTAGGAATATATTATTGTATGTTAGTATGTGTATAGTTACTATTACATAGCATATGCTTCTAGTATGTTCTAGTAATGAAGTACATTCTTTTGGCGATATTTTATACATTGGGTATAAAAAGTTGAAGATAATAAGTATTTATATATAATATATTAGAAGAAATTTAAACTAATGTGCCATTTTAATATTAAAATTTTTACTGTCGAAATGTGAAGATTATGTTACTATTTATACCTGATATTTTTTTTAATTACCTACACACAGTTATTCAAATATTAAACCATCCTGTCATTTAGTAGTTATTAAAGAGTCCTTTGTTATAGATTAGTCTTGGGCTTAATCGGACATCAGCAAGTGCGCACCGTACTAGTACAATTGGGAAAACGTACTAGTACACACGTTTAGTACCTTTAGTACTTCAGATTTGTGATAAAACAATAACATGAATAGAAAATAACGAGGGTTCTAGATTACTTCACATCAAATTTTAAGCATGGTCAAACATATGTTATTAGCGAAAATAAAGTTACAAATGATTTTATCCACTTTTGATTCTCATTACCGAAGGTCGATGCTTCAATCTGGCAAATATATCTACCAAATCAACGAAAAGGCGAACACTGATATCGTGTAGTGTACTAAAAGTGCGAAATGTCCGATTAACAGAAGCCGTTCGGTAACGTTACTTTTAGTACAGTGCCGAGTAACATTACTTTTTAGTACATCGTACGTGTACTACCCAAAAATACTTTTTAGTACATCGTACGTGTACTACCCAAGACTATTATAGATTTAGGACTACACTAAAGAATTGCTTAAATATGAATCATGTGTACGGAATACTTGATTTTGGAATCTAATTTTCAACCAATAATGAATTTTAAAGCACAATTATCTTGATATCTTCAATAGAATGCACTTCATTATAATAAAACTGTACATATAAGAATTCACTAAGAACCTAGTATCCACATTTGTATAGATTGGGCTGTATTTTAACATTGCCGATGGCTTTATAATTTATACAAAGAATTCTCGGTGTTGTACTTTTACTACATACATTCTATCCATACATAATTCCATTCCATTTTTTGAATCGTATAATCGCAGTCAATGCAGTTTACACTAATCGTAAGATAACCATAAATATTTGTAAAATACATAATAATGATTACCCTAACTTAAAACGAAATACAATAATAATTATGTTCCGAATGAATAGTTTCTATTATATGTGAACTTTTGAGATGGCACAACTTTTTTATATAACTTGACGATGATCCATCCGAGCTAAAGACTTATTTTAATAGACAACAAAATTTATACATTTGTATGATTAATGTATCAAACTATTATTGTATTCAAATTCATTAATAATGCTGCATTAATATTGTCTCATATACTGCCATATACTGCCAGAACTACTGAACAAAACGGTCGTATCGGAAATTACACTACAATTTATTTCAATCTTTAGTAATAGTGCACAAAAGGTCTATTCTTCCATGCATACCCTTTCGTATCCTATAAAAATAGGCAGTAAAATTGAACTGAAGGTACATGTAGGAAAGGGTAATCTTACCTCTCTGTCCGTTAAGATATGATACAGACCCTATGATATAGAATATATCGACGGGTGAAAGGCTATTTCTTTTAACTGCCATTTTAGGCGATAATGACTTGTAATATATCCAGAATAGGTGTTTTTTTCTGCGTCGTTAATAATGAAGTATGCCGAATTATAGTAATTTTAATCTAAAACCCGTCTGAAAATCTTTCAATTTAAATTATTTTCAGAATTTATTTTTATGCTTTTTTTCTAAAAACTTTAAATGGCTCTCCTGAACATTTAACCTAATGGCGCTTAAAATAAATAGCCTTTCATCAATATGATTGTACAATTGTTCAGGCAGTGACCTATGTTAAGACATATTAAAATCTTTACTCCAACTCTAAAGTCAATATTATATTGTAACACTTTGTGTTCCGTTCTGTTAAATGTTAAGGTCTACACACTATCTGGCTATTTGACAGCCAAAATGAATTGTAATCTGTTGTTTGTTCTATTCATATTCTTCAGCAATCAACGGAGTGCCAAAACAATTTGATTTGAAATTATTAAAACAGCTGTGTGTGAAGGCCTTTACATTTACAAATATTTACCATTAAAGTCGAGTTTTACGTACAGAAGCAAACAATTCACTTAGACCACCTAATGAGTAGCTTAACAATGATTGGTCCTAGACCGGTGACCAGTATAACCCTGAAAAAGATTACATTTAAAGTATGTTGTGTTTCCATTTCTATTGAAGTGGCTAATTCTGCAATGTATCAGTTAAGTAGTACAAAATAATCTATATTAATGAAATAATGTCTGCTACAGATGTCAAACAGTTCACATGTTTAATTAATGTGGTCAGTTAGGCCTGTGTTTGTGGCGGGTTTAACAGCCATGTAGTTCTTAAATCAAATCTATAATTTTTAATATGTTTATTCCAGATATATGTACTAGAGGGTTGTTCAAAGGTCGCCGGTGTAGGATAAAAAGAAAAATGTAAACCTGTCCAGTACTGTGTGTTTATATAAAAATAAAATAATCATAAGTTAAATGGTTTTATTAAAAATCCTTTTATAATATAAGATTTATTATTGTGAAAAGAAAATCAAAGTTAACCTTACATTTATCAATATTAAAGCTTACAATTGAAATGGAAATAACAACATAGGAACTAGTCTGGAAGAACACAATGGCCTTTCGATTTTGTATTTTTTTTAATTGATGGGGATGAAATCGGTAATAAGCTAATAAAACATATTTCCAGTGAGATATGTGTAAACTATGTGCTTTCATAAGACCAATCGTATTTGATGTCACAGTCTGATTAATTACCCAGTGGTTAGTTTGTGGAGATTTGGTGTTTGTAACATTAATGACTTCAAATTGCTAGGTAAGTTGCTGTTACCAATACATTACAATTATTACTCAATATTGTAGCTAATCATATATTTTTGTCACCCTAAATCTTATGAGCTGATACATTTAATTAATACAAATTACAAATCGAAATGAAACTAATCTGTTAAATGAGATCAGTTGGCTGCATTGAATTCGAAATTTACTAAATTGACATTCTAAAAAGATTAATTGCTAAATGTTATTTCTAATTCTTAAAATATTAGGTAAATCGTAAGTTCTATTTAGAAGAAATTGCAAACAATAAGCGAAAGACCGTTATAACATACAAAAAATAATATAAGTCGATTGACATTGACTTGATATTTTTATTTTGACATCTGCTTTTTGCAACTGGCAGTTGTCACATTGACGTAAAATGTGATTTTTTTTATCTAGCAACCCTGGCATATTGTGAAAATTATGTAATGTCCGGAATTGTTAAAGATTTTTCTAAAAACGAGGTTAATAAACAGTTTTCAATGTCAAGATAAACAACAAGATTTTTAGAGAAGTTTTTTTCTTATACATAACACGTAAACTAAAACTACTGTATAAAATTGTCTCCAAATATCTAAACTTTTATGGCAACTCTAGGAGTAAATGGTATTTCTATGGTAAGATAAAGAATTTTCAAGATATAACCTACTACAACTACTAAATCAACAAATGTATCTAGAAAAAGAAAATAAATAATTTTATTTCTTGTCAGTGTTCAGTGATGTCACTTATTTTGGTCGGAAGTCTCGTTACCAACACAACAAAACTAGATGTAATATAAATTGATTGTCAAACTAGCTGTCTAAATCCATTTGCAACGATCGAAGAGCAGTGAACATCGAGGAGAGGTAGTGGAGGAATTTACCATCTAGCCACCATCGCCGTTTCGCCAATTACACCATGGCTGATACCGAAAAGGCGCCGCAGCAGCAACCCCAACAACAACAGCAGCAGCAACAAGACCAGCAAACTCAACCGCTACAGGCTAAAGCCGCTAAACAAAAGCAGGTCATTGGTAAGTGCTACCGCCATCTTATCGTGGCCCGTCAATCGTTTACTAAAAGCACATGGTCACTGAAAAGACGCATTATTTTTCGCAATACTTTTTTTCTATCTTAAGCGGTTACTGCGAAATAGTCAGGAAATAATATGGAAATATGCTCA